AAAAAAAAAAAAAAGAGAGAAGTTCAAAGTATATATAAGGATAAGAACGACCACATTTTCCTTCTAAAAACACATCACGTTACATTAGTCAACTTGGCAAGTCCTCGCACGACGCTTAATAAACACGGTTCAAACGGCGCCGTGCAATGTTTAATAGGCACACTTCAAACGCCACGCCACTTATGCACCGAACCTGTCTGGTGGAATAGAAACGACATCAAAGGGACCTATAGATCAGTTTGATTTAGCAGTTAAAAACTAAAGCGTCCAAAAGTTAAGTTATACAGCGAACTTCTCACGCCTCCAGTTTCAAACTGAAATATCGAGAGAGCCATATTTCCCTCTTTTGTTTCTTGGCTAACTATAAGTAACAAAAACCAACTACATTTGGTTGGCAGAAGATCGGCGCGGTGTTTAAAACGAGCTTTCCTGTTGAATTGCGCAGCGTAAATGAATAAAAATTATTCGATTCGGTTTTCGCATATTCCTGAGCTGCACTCATAAAGACAAGAGCGCATACAACTATTGTCTGTAGGTATGACGTCACTTTTACAGAAATAAAATCTATTGTCTGTAAGTACGGGGTAAGAAAATGTATAACAATATCCTTTAACAGACAAACTTCTGTAGTATACAGGCCACAGGATAAGCCCTGTTAACTTCACCCTTTAACCTCCGAAATCTGATTATTAATTCTCTCCTTTAGCTGGTAAACATTTCCCTCTAAATGAGATACGAGAATTTGGCGTGAGAACTGGATAACAACTTCTACCTGTTAAGTTTGAGTATTTTCATCATTTGATTGCTGGGTAATGCGTAGATATCAGAGCAAGAAGTTACTTGTTAATCAATTGTGGGAGTCAAAGGGTTAAGTTAATTGAACAATGTAATATGTTGCTGAGCATAAGCAACAAATACTGATAAGGAAGTAGAACTGCAACCATTACCCCACTGGAGTAATGGCTAACTACAGCACGATGGTGGTGCATCATTAACGAAAAATTCGGTGGGTTGCAGCTTCAAAAAAAGGATTTGTGAGTTTTTTTTTTTTTTTACAGTGTTTCTAAGTTAATCATTTGCAGTATGAAGAGAGGTAACTCTACAGGCAAGTTGCCTTACTGTTACTCTTTTCGCGACCTATCCCAAGAGATTACGTATTCCTGTTTTGATTGCTTCTGATCATGGTCATTTATAAATATCACAAACATTCAAAGCACTCGACAATTAATCTATCAACTAATTATGAACGGGCAAACTTTCATACCGGATAGGGCGCTTCTCGATTGAGTTTCATCAAAAATCGCCTGTACGATCACAGAAGACACTGGACACAAGCGAAAGTGAAATCAATGAGAGATCAACGTAATCTCACGTAATTGGTTGAGAGGATGGGTTATTTAGACCAATCAGAGGACTAAATAAAACAAATGCAAGATAACCCGGGATTAGTTTTGACGATCAATTCGCTGAAAACCGGTTGCACTTGAGGGAAGCTAATGCAACACAAGGCGCATAGTTTTTGTTCCCCAACTCACATTGATTTGTCCTGTGCGTCGTGGAGGTTAAAAATATTAGTAATCGGGAGCAGTTCTCCCTTCTCATCTCGGTACTTTTCCTCAAATTTCCTAATGTCACTGCCGCATTCGTATTTGAAAATATCCACAATCTTATTCCAGCGCGAGATCTTGCTCCTTTGGCTGGCCTTCTGAGCTGGGGACCACTGGCACAGCGGTGGCATATCTCCCAGGCCGTTCTCCCAAAGATAAATTACGTCCAGCGCATTCACCTTCTTCGGTAGGATAAAATCCGAACCCTTTTTCGGAGAAGATCCATCATCTTCTAGAATTTCTGAGTCACTACCTATTACTTTATCGTGCTCTTGGTCTTGTGACTCGACATTGGGTTCGTCAGCTTCGTCCTTTGGCGTTATTCCAGAACTATTTAGAGCAGAAACATAATTTTTTGGCAAATATGATGGAGGCTCGTTTTCTAAATCGTATTTGGACAATATGGCGGAAATAGGCAGCAATTCACCTTTCGCGTTGCAAAATCTCTCTTCAAACTTTTCCCAACTCCCGCCGCAATCCTTTCGGAAGATGTCAACGATTTTCTTCCAGCGAAAGAGTTTTGTTTCATGTCCTACTTTGTGGATTTTCGGCCATTTGCTAACCGGTGGGAAAAGTTCGCAGCCTTCCTCCCATAGCTGTACTACATCCTTCGCAGTGACCTTGCGTGGGAGTTGATAAATCTCACTCTCAGTCCCTTCTCCAGTTTTCTGACCAGGAGGCGCACCGGCGAAAGAACTGGATAGGCTTGACGGTGACTCCCAAGCATCAAACATGGCAACAATCGTAGTGACAGGATAAAGCTCACCGCGCTCGTCCGAAAATTTTGATTCAAACAAACTCAGGTCTCCTTTGCAGTGATATTTGTAAATGTCATATATTTTAGTCCACCGCGAAAACTTGCTGCGCTGTCCTGCCTTCTGTGCGGGCGTCCACTTATGAAGGGGCGGTAGGTCACCGTAACCAGTCTCCCACAGCTTGATGATATCCTTGGCAGTGACTTTGCGGGGTAAAATATGACTGCTACCTTCACCAGAGCTCGAAGATTCAATCTTAACACCAGCTGCGCCATTCGATGGGGCAGCACTGGGTGACAATTCTCCTGTTGCAGTTTCATCTTGGTCTTCAGCTGTTGCACTTAATCGGCTTCGAGCTTCGGGGATGTCAAAAATAGGTCCCGTAGTTGCGTTTTCCGCATCGTACTTTGCAATGATCGATGAAATAGCCAGAAGATGCCCGCGGTCATTTGAGTACTTAGCATAGAAGCTGTCCCAGTTCCTGTTGCAGTCCTTGTTAAAGATTTCAGCAATTTTACGCCACCGGAATATTTTGGTCTCTTGACCGATTTTCTGAGCACGTGACCATTGACAAACCGGAGGGAATTCCTCGCTGCCCTCCTCCCAGAGGCGAACAATATCATTTGGCGTTACCTTCCTCGGGAGAAAGTAACGAACTTCAGCTGATGGTTGTGCTAAGCTGCTGTCCACACCTTCTACTTTCGTGGGTTCTCTGTTGACATCAGTACCTTCGGAATCTTCCAATTCAGAATCCAGAGATATCCGTATCTCGTTCTTGAAATCCTCATCCACATCTTGAGTGTCAACTCTCTCTTTGCCAAAAGCAGCTACTCCCTCGAGGTCGGAATTGTTTTTACCAAGAAAAGCCGGAGTCTGCTGAGTTTCGTACAACGACAGGATGGTTGTCACCGGCAGAATTTCACCTTTGTTGTCCGAGAAACTCTCTTCGAATTTCTTCATGTCGCCATGATAATGAAGCTTGAAAATATCCACGAGCTTCTTCCACCGAGAAATTTTGCTCTGTTGCTTTAGTTTCTGTGTGGGAGTCCAGTCTTTCAGGGGTGGAAACTCTTCACAGCCATGCTCCCAAAGGTTGAGTACTTCCTTAGCAGACACCCTTCTTGGAAGCTCATAGCTACGCAGACCACTCCTGTGAGGCTGTTGTGAGTTGGAGAATAAAGTCTTTCCGCTTACGAAGGGAACGTTGGGTATTGGAGGTGTTTGTGGAGTCTCTGTCTTTGTAGTGGTATCGTTGGAGGTTTCCTGAGTAGCCGGTGCCAACCTTTGGATGAATGGTCCCCCACTCGCAAGTAGATGGTTTTGGGCTTCCACAAGGTCAGACAATTTCTTGTAAGATTCCTCCAAGGCGAGATTTCGGTTTTGAAGGACCTTGACCTATAGCGATGAAAAATAACAATTCAATAAACCCATTCGGACAAAGAAGGATGCGTTGCACTAACATCTGCGATTCTGGTTACACTGAACAGCTCTAATAGACGGTATCAGTGGGGGAAACACACAGGAGTGTCTGTATCTATAGCTGCTCCCCAAAGTGAATGCCCAAATAATGAGTTAGTATGGTTGGTTTGAAAAAGGAAAAGTTGTCAAGGGTACCAAATGTTGGGCTCTCCACTTGACTGGTAAATTTTCTTATGCTAACTTTAAAGAGGTCTCAACTTTATTAGGAGCTGTGGGCTTGTATAGAAGACACTCTGATAGGGGACAAGTCATTGTGTCAGGCTGCCAAGCTCTGTTACACTGACAGTTTGGCTTTAGTGATAGGGACAATATCTGTGGAAACCTTTGTCCGTGCTACAACTTTTTTTTGCTGCAATCAGTGGAGAAAATTCAAGTTTATAGGTCCTGATGCAATTGGATAACACTACATATTAAATGAGGCTGGGAATTGTATTGGTTGGTGTTGCAACACCCCACTGAGAAAAAGTAAAGGTGGGCATAGGAGTGGCTGGTATCAAACTTTTAGTAATCAGGAAAAGCTCCAGATGAATGGTCCGGTGAATTGACAAAAAATTTCAACATAGACATTCCTCAGATGAACTGTGCCAAACAGATGTCCTGGGGTAAGCATTTGGAAAAAAAGAATTTGTGAATTGTGAGCCACATTGTTGCTTTGACTAAGCTCCTGCTGTATAACAAAACTGTTCTACTGTACAACAAAAAACAAAAGAGCTTTTCAATTTGGCTCATAATTCAAAACTATAAGGTACTCATTAAATTTTCCAGTGGTGGCTACTACCACATGCACCAAATTAAGCTTTATTTACCTCACTTTTTAAACTCATTACCTGCTGCTCAAGTTCTTCAAGTTTCTTTTGAAACTGCGAGTGGATCTGTTCACTGGTCACTTCCTGAGGAGGTGCTACATTGGGTGTTGGCATCAAACCAAGAGCTATCTGTGGCATTGGCACAGGACTACCACCATTAGAAGCTACTTGAACATCATTTAATGGGTCTTAAATTAGACAAAATATAACTTACATGTGCAGCAGTACGTTTTAAAGTGATATGATGCAAAAAGATGTAATGATTTACTACTATCAAACACTTTCTGTAGACACACACAATCCAAATGAAATGATTTAAGAAAAGATCAGAAGACTAAAAGTTTTACTAAGCAAAATTTAACCTGTGTTTGCAGTAGTTACCTCACCAATAGGGGTGGAGAGTCATGCACAAGTCTACTTTTATGTACTGTACTTATGCTTACTTCATGAAAGTCATTTAAGAAGAGCCCTAAAAACAGCTACAACAAGACTTGTTCCAAGATTACCTTCCAATGCTTGTGTTACTTCACTGCTTGGATCATTGAGGGTTAACTGCTGATAAACAGGCTCTGTTTGAGGATGAATAAGATCTTGTACTGGTCCTGTATCTGGAAGCCTGAAAGGATTCTCCTCTGGAAGCTCAGAAAAGATCTGCACAGCCATAGCATCAATATCTGGCTTGATCTCATCAGTGATGAATTTGACCCCTGAATCAAGGTCACCCTTTGTAATTTTTCTGCTTTCTTCATTCTGTTCAAGTTTTCTTGAAAACCAGAAAAGTGTGTCACAAAACGAGACATTCATTCATAGCCTGTTTGAGGCATTCACTTACTAGTAAAGTGGAGTGTAATTATAGTAAATTCGTGTGATAGTATGTGCCACCTATGACCCAAACCTCCTTCCATTACAACACCTAACCCATACCTCCCACTGTTTTGCTCTGCTGCCTCTATCTCATCATTTACTATTTTGCTCTGTTCACCCCCAAGATCTCATGAGTAATTCTCCTCACTGTCTGCTGTACAATTGTTATGATGTAGTTTGGAGAATTTGGCATTGGATCGACTGATGATCCCCTTATTTTACATTTTTCTGTCTTCTCTTCACTTTTCTGATTGATATTATATTGAGGTTGCAAGGAGTAATTCTGTCTTGGTCACTCATGGAAATGAAAGGGTTAACTACTGGTAATGAACCACCTGGAACAGGCTATTTATTCATTGATAGTGTAACAAAATTAAAAATCTCCCTAATTTTTTTCCACCTAGTCCTGAACATTGTTAAAGGTATTCTTGAACCTTAAAATGTCCTTTTTCAGTCCTTTCACTCCCAAAATCCAAATCCAAATTTCCCACATTATTATACATTGTAGTCACTATCTGTCTTCTCATTGGCTAAATGCCTACAGTTAATTCTGGAAAACAGCACAACCTACAGATTATTCACTAATCTGTACCTACAGATTAGTGAATGATCTGTAGGTTGCACATGCAATGCATGATTTCTGGGGAAGCAATGTCAAGTTCATGGACAGTGAAGTAAGAATGGCTTCTCGATTCGCTTTATCGACCCAGCAAGAAATTGAGAAATCACTCGAAGATAAAGATTCGGAAAATACTAAAAGATCTACAGTTTTTTTCAATGATACTTTCCTTAGAAATGCATTTAACTTTTCTACACTTGATTGTTTTATAAAAATGGTGAAAATTTGTTTACCACACAGTTGTACATTTTTAAGTGTTCGAAAATAACCTGTGTTTGCTGTGAGAATGTGTTTGGTGTTATTTTCTTTAAAACAATGTATAATAAAACAATTATTGGATTCAGTTTTTATGATATCCAGAATAATCAAGGTCTCGGTTAGTGTTAGCATCCTCAGCCTTCGGCTCCGGCTGATAACACTCACCTTGACCTTGATTATTCCGGATATCAGAAAAACCTCATCCAATAATTGTTTATTGTCTGCCGTAGATTTCTTTGAATTTTACTTCTTAAAGTTTGATATTACTGGCATATAACATTATTGTTTGGTTATAAATCTACTACCTGTAGTTGTTCAAAACTTAACAAGAAAAGCTCAAGTTTGATTGAATATTGTTACAAAAAGGTCACACTACATGCTATTCACTAGGGCCACTATCTACAGTATCATGGAATAAACAGTGAGTAACACAGCTAATCAGATTGTAGAATGCAACTTAATATTTATAGCATCCATTATTCTATGCTGAGTACTGTAGTTTCTTCTTCTTCTCTTTTCTTGCCTTTCATTTAACCGTTTCCTTCATTTAGAGCAAATGTTTTGAAGCCTAAATTGACTTAAATAAATTAACTACATTAAGGGGCCAATTTAAACATCTGACAACACAAAGTATCAAAGTTTACTGCCAAAATTGTTTAAACAGTTCATCTTACATGCTCTAAAATTGATAGCCCTATGGAAGATTGAATAAAACCCCTTAACTCCCAAGATTTGATTGTTAATTCTCCCCTCTAGCTGCTACACATCTCCTTGTAAATTGGTTATGAGAATTTGGTGTTAGATCAAGATAACAACTTCTACCTGATAAGTTTGAGTATTCTTATAACCTCTTTCTTTGATGGTAGGATATTAGAAGGAGAGGTAACATGTTAATCACTTTTGGGAGTAAAATGGTGAAAAAAAGGTTTTTCCTGACTTCTACCAGACATGATTGTTTTCTTGTATTGATGTATAGATCCAGAGGTCCAAAATCTTATTCAAAGTGATATTTTTCAGGGGTGGATCTAGGGGGAGGGTGCAGGGGGTGTGCACCCCCCCCCCTGAGATGACCTGCAGCTTTCTAATACAAGTGGTATTCTGCTATTACAATCTTTTTTATGTCCGGTCACCAGTCAGTTACACCATTCTTTAGTGGTGCACCCCCTCCTCAAAAAAAATCCTGGATCCACCCCTGTTTTCGTCTACCTCTCTGTAGAAAGAGCTTCTGCACTGCACCTGAAGAAGGCTGGTTTGGCCGGCCGAAATATAGTGCTCCGTCTTAAAATTTACTTGTCTACGTTGTATCGGTCTTGCCTCTATATTTATATATCATATTCTGCAAAGAACTTTCAATTACTTCTACTGTACAGCTGTGGGATTAATATTAATAAGAGTTTCTCAGTACCTTTTAAAACTTCTGTGTTCACCTGGCACAATCAGAAAGTCACCTTCATCCTTCCAAAGAAAAAACAAAACAAAACAAAATGAAAAAAACAAAAAACAAAAAAAAAAAACAGAACAATTATAAAAAGTGTTTATTTCAGCTGTTCATCAAAAACTGTTAAATTTTATGTGTTGACCAATTTGAAGCCTCAACATTCCCCTTCCCCTGAGCAACCCATGGGCATTTAACTGTCATCCTTGCCTGTTTTATTTTAATTTGGATATATCAACAAAGTTGAAATGGTAAATTGGCCACCATAACGATTACAAAAGCTGACGTTTCGAGCGTTAGCCCTTCGTCTATTCGCTCCGACGAAGGGCTAATGCTCGAAATGTCAGCTTTTGTAATCGTTACGGTGGCCAATTTACCATTTCAACTTTGTTGATATATTCAAATTATTTCGTTACTCCCACCGACGCAGCCCCAAACAGTTTCTTTCGAAACTATCTGCCTTTATTCATGTTTTATTTTAAGATGGGGATGGATGTGTTTAAGGTAAACAGTCCACTTTGCAAGTGAATGGCTCTCAAAAAAATGGTCTACAAGATATATACTGTAGGTATTAAAGGTTGGTCAATGCCTAGAAAGTCACAGTATGGGTCAGGCAATTTAAAACAATTTTTTGCGTGGGGGGGGAGGGCAGGAATTTGAACAACTGCATTAGTCTGAATGAAGATGGTGAAAAAAAAAAAGAGGTATTAAATAAGTTTCAAACAGCACTGCTATTTAATAGATGGAAAAAGTTGAAAATGACACCAACACTGTGCTTTTCTTCCACCAATTCTAGTTTGAATTTGAATTAGGAGAGTTGGTTTTACTAGATACACAAAACACAACAGTGATAACTCAACCTGCATAACATTCTGATCTAAAACAATAGCTCAGCAACAGCAGTTATAGGGAACCATTTTCTGGGGACATTTCCTCCATAAGCCCTACAGTGTTCATTACGGGGCTTCCTTTCCTTAGCAACAACCAAAATGTCACGCAATGCCAGTAAAAATTCGGAGTCACGCTAAAACGCTTACCGTTTAGATTTATTTATCTGATTTGGGGACAAAATCGAAAATCAAGTCGCCTTGTAAGTTTCAATACAGCAACATCGATTGTTCAATTGATTCAATAGCTTTGTCAATGATTACTGGAAATCAGAATTGAAGAACTTAGGGTGATTCCTCAGAACTTAGAGCTCTTCACGAAGGAAGCTAGCTGGAAATTTTAACTTGTAGAACGGAAGATTCAACATTTATCAAACACAACCGCAAGAGTTGTACTATACTATGCACTTACCAGTCCCGATTCATGAATGCCATGTGCACCATCAGCAATCTTGGAAATTATCGAATGTAGATTTTCTTCTCTCCTTCCAAGGTAACAGATTTTAAATAGAGTTACAAGTTACAAACGACTCGCAAACACTAATCAATAAGCGAACAATAATCGGAAAATCAGAACTAATCGTATGAATCACGGTCCAAAGAAACGACTTATAACTTGTTTGGTCATTGCACAGATTACTTACTCTGAGCGAGCATCCTGGGAACTTTCCATTTTCTCGTTTTTAGTGAGAGAAGACAAGTTGAAATGTGAGAATGAAAGAAAAGAAAGGGCGTTGTTAGCGTCTGTCAGTGGAGACCTGGGATCGAGGCCACCTGTGCCTTGAAACCGAGGCTAATAGATATCAAAGATGGCGGCCGATTTGGGATGCAAAATTGATGACACTTAAGGATATATTCTAGAGCTCTGGACAAGGGAGCAAACTCGCACAAGATGTCTCTAGCAGCGGCAGATAAGCTGCTCAAGATTTTTGACGCGTTGAAAAATTTTAGAGAAGGCATTCCCGTGGCCGACCCAAATCCCTTGTTGGCAAAGTAAGGATATCTCCATTGATCAGAATTAATTAGTTTATGTAAGCTTAAATCAGCGTTGCATCAATGGATGAAAATAATCAAGTCCCCTGGTAATCGAATACTGACCTAAGATTTTAGATAAAGTCAGCGACTAGTCAAATTTGGTTTGCAGCCGTCGATCAAGTGCTACCAACACAAGCAGCAGGCCTGATTATGTACCTCCCCCTTCTCCCGAACTTGTAGGTATTATCTACAAGTCTGGTGATTTTGAGCCTTTTCCAAGCGTTCAGTTACCAAACAATAATACAGTGGCGGTAGCGAATCAGTACACTGCAGTAGTCTTGCTGATTTCAGCTGAAACCACTTCTGCACAAGTGCATGTTTTGCTGTTGTGTATTGTTCTCAGGAGAATTCCTTGAAGTTACTAACTTTGATACATTTTCAGGACCTAAACATGTGGGATGAAAATTTATGTACAGTGAAATTCTCTGTTGTAAAAACGACTGCAAATAATTAGACCTGGCTTTTATGAAAGTTTTCCTTCCATTGCATGCTGTTTAATGCAGCTCTATAAAAATTCCTTAGGGCATGGAATGCATCTTTATTGCCTAACTGTGCCAATGTAGAGGTTGAGACTTAAACTGTTATCTTAAACATAAGGGGAAAAATACTACCCAAGGTAACAAACATATGATTTTTTTTTTGTAGGAAGAAAGAAACCCTTCTGTCTAAAAAAGATAGAATATCATATCTGAACACCATTCCAGAGCTAGTTTGCTCATCAGGAATAAGGTAGGTTTCACTGGAACAAAGTAAAAGGGGGGATGTCTATAAAATTACACACTGTTTATTTTTATAGTCTCTTTATTCCTTTCTGGAATAACTTGATATGAAATGTGAATTATACCTTTAAACTCGTTGTCTTGTAATTTTCTTGCAACTCTCTGTACTATATGCGCATTTTAAGGGAGAAATCTCTGGAATCTATTGAAAATATCATATGCTGATACACTTGTTGCTTGTATCTGCAAATGAGTTTGACAGATGTTCAGAAATCTATGATCTAGGGATGCTGTGGCTTGTTAACATGTAGGACTATGGATATAAAAGTGGGAGAATCCATGTTTTTCTTCTTAGAAAATGAATATTTTCATTTTCATTTTTGATATGAAACTTCATTGAAGTATCTCTTATACTAGATAGTCAAATGTACTTTTTTCTATATAAAAGCTCTTCTTAGAGTCATTTTGTTGTGATCTGCAAGGAAACCTTTAAAAGATGTGCCTATGCTTTCATTGTTTTAATGTAGAAGCAGTTCTCCTTTGTCATTTTTATATCAAGAGGAGAATATAATACAAAAGAGATTAATGCACATTTAATGTTCACTTGTTTTGATTTTTTGTTCCATCAGGAGTCTGCCTGAATTTCCAAAGATCCTGGCTATCACTGTGGACTCTTTGTTAATCAGTTGTGATGACAAGGAGTCAGATGTGCGTCTGGTTGCAGGTGAATCTCTCAACAAACTTATCAAGGTTAGTTGTTGTGTTCTAGTAATATTTACATTGCTGTACGATCTTGATGAATTATTCCTGCATTTACCTATGATCTATAAGAAGACAGATATATTGAAGACAGATATACAGAAGACATAGTGAAAGCTAATGAGCAGTTTAAGCTTGCGGTTCTTGTTTAGAAAATTTGGTTACATAAAGTTTCTCATTCTATGTTATATTCTTTTTTTTTATTGATAGACAATGTTTACCCACACTAGCCTAGTTTAGCTGCAAGCTGGGTTTAAATGGGGGTTTGCATAAACAATAGATATATAACAAGATATGTATACAAATATGAAATGCAAAACAAGCCCACAATATACACATACAATATATATCTCAATTAAAAGCATATGGCATGAACATTAATTTCAGAAATAAAATTGCAAAATTTTCTTGAATTTAGGGAGAGATTTTACTTTTCTTAATTTACTAAATAGAGTATTCCATGCCTTTGTGCTATTTTAGTAGAAAGAACTGTCAAGTTGATAATTAGATTTTTTAGCAAGTGGCAAACGCAATCTGGTATTTTAGGCATGATTTGGTGCAAAAAAATAAATTCACCCAAAAGATAGGAGGGTGCAAGACTGTGGAGGCATTTAAACGAACTCATTCAATAGTAAGTCAAACAATACTGGTCAATATAACTGTGGGTGTCACTGTGAACCCTAAATATGTTAGTTTGGATATATCAACAAAGTTGAAATGGTAAATTAGCCACCGTAATGATTACAAAAGCTGACGTTTCGAGCGTTAGCCCTTCGTCGGAGCGAAAGTAAATATGTTAGCTTTAGTTTGCACCTCCTCCATAATGTTCTCTTTAAGTTACCTAAGGTACTGATAAGGGAAATAACTTGTCTAACAATCAGTAGCCTCTATTATTGATGATCATTTCCTTTATTCTCTTGACCTTGATTTTTGATTCAGCAGGAAAACTGTAAGGAGAGGTTAGATGCTAGTCATAGTCAATCATCTTATTTTCCCTCCTAACAGGGATTAATGGACTCTTTTATTGGACGGATACTGGTAGAGCTTTACAAGGAAATAAAAAAGGTTTGGAGTTCTGTACATGTACGTTCTGTTGTAAGAATCATCACAGCGTGCTATTTTGGTTCTACTGTGTACATTATGGGTATAGATAATTTTTTTTTTCATAACTCTATTATCAGAATGACTCTGCTAGAAGTCTGAGAGCTGCTTTATCTAGATTTGGTGACTTATGCCATTTGATTAGACCTCAGAAATGCCGGTAGGTGTGTTTTAGTATTCACCAACCCTATAAATTATTGTGAAAAACAGTAAGTGGCTGGTATGACTCTCTGTTTCATCTGAGCCAAGGGAATCATCAGATATCTTAAGAATTTTTATGCAAAACATTGTTGGGCTCAGAGTCCTGTTTGCAAAATCAAGATGTTACAGTTATAGCTGTAATAATTACTTATTTATTTCTCTAGTACAAGGTTGGTGTAGCTTTATACACTATTAATAGTAATGTACCACTATGTTGTGATACCAAACTTTAATGAACTATAGAAAACAAACTGTTCAACAACACAGCAGAACCGAACCGAACACGACACTCAACTAACTATGCTCGTCTCGTCCCAGACTACTACGGACAATTATTACAGTAACTTGGGGAGTGATTTTTGAAGCTAAATGTGACACAGGATTTGTATATGTCAAGGATAACCTAAAAATTCATAATAGTCTGCAATGTTGTTTTCTAGGCCTGTAAAGTTCTGGCTCTGGTTGTTCAAAGGGTGGATAACGCTATCCAACGGATAAATCGCTATCCAGCGGATAAGTGTTACCAAAACGTACTGCGCTATCCTCCGGATAGAGATTTATCCAGTGTATAACGTTATCCATCCTTCGAACAAGCGGGGCCTGAACTTTGAAAATGGGTTGTGGAGAAGCAAGGAAATTAATGAAATGTGATAGTTGAGAGGAACAAAGAGAAAAAATAATACTGTTGTCTTCACTACATGATTGTTTCCACAGTATTTTGGTTGTTGCCTCTTGATGGAAGGTTGTGGAAAATATCTAAATGGCCCCAGAAAGGCCTTTGAAAGTCATGAAAGTTTGTGATGTTGAAAGAGTAGGAATGCTGTGGTACCATTAAGAGAGTGTTTGATCAAGTTTTGATCAATTTCTAGAGTGCTGTGTAATAGCCCAGATAATGGTGCATATAACAGCACTGCATGGACTTATTAATGAACCTGAGATAATTTTGTAATCATTATGTTGTGTCTTTGGGAGTAGATGTTCAATTGCATTGAAAATTGTCCCTGCAAATTTGAGTGAGGATTGGCTCGTGGCACAGGGCTGCTGAAAATTTTCTTAATAAATGTGATCATTTTTTATCTACATCTGTTTCTTTCAGGCCATTTATTGCAAATTTGTTACCATGCATAGCTCGTGTAAGCACACGCACCGAGGAGACAATCCAGGTAAAAAAGGAGGAAACTTAAGACTATTTTGATGTTGAAATTATTTATTTGAAAGGTTTTGGATTCCATATCACTCTGCTTAGACTAGGTTTAATGGTTTTTTTTTTTCTCCAGGAAACACTGGCCAATGCCATGCAGAAGATCATGAGTGTTCTGGGAAGTTTCACAGGTGATAAGGAAGTTAAGGTTAGTTTTTCCTTTACAAGACAGTAGCATACTCATGACTGTGATTTATTAGAAAGAGGTGAAAAATTATTTTGATCACTTTCAAGATCTTGGAGATGACTCTTTCCAAAAAGACAACAAGAGGCTCAAACTAGAAATTTTTATTGTCAACAGCAACTATTGAAAACATTTTTGCCAAACTTGCGATCCTCATCAGCAACAACCAGACGAACTGCTGCAAGTAGCCTTGTTGTTATCTGTCAATATTCACGTAAACCAAGTTTCTTTTATGAGTGGCTCCTGAACATTTTGTTAGGTGAGTTACTCAATTACTAACTTTTTACTCTGTTGTTTAAATTTTTTACCCAATATGCTGTTAGTCAAAGGGAAGAATTAATTAATCAACCATACTAAGAAAAATATTAGGCAAGGGAAAAACAAAGTTGTTAAGTGCTAAAAGGCCAAGAAAAAGTGTTTTTTGGCCAGTTATGGTCAAAAATATTTTTTACCCCAATTAATTGGCAGTAAATTTCATAATCTGATTGGCCAATTCGCAGTTGTTGATTGTTATAGAAAACAGT